AGACCCCCTCTAAAATCGCCTTTAAATCATTTCTAACTTTCAGAACAAACAAAGCGTGTGTAATACACATCAACTACAACAAGGATAGCCAATTTTGGGGCTTTTTTGCTAGGGTCTTCGCTTTGGACAAAACCCCCCAAATATCCAAAACAGAGAACTCCCTAAAATCACGTTTAAATAACGTTTAAATCATTTAATTATGTTCAAATCCCCGCCAGCACGACTCTCTTGCTAACAGATTCGCACAAGAAATACATTTAGAGCGAGTTTCGCATATGCAGTACTCTAACCAGCCAATAACAATCTACTTGCACAAACCTCGTTTTTGAAAACCTGCTATTTTCACTAGTGAAAGTTATGATATAGTTATTTGAAGACATAATTTGCTTTGATGGATAACGTTAACTATATAAACAAAATATTGTGATACTACCGTACGATTTTTTAGTAAGTAGATTTACAATGGTACAAACACTTATCAATACACYAACATGCTGCGCATGGTCACAACTAATTACATACGTATTTCATTCAATTCTTYTTCTTCCCAAGATGCAACACTCTCGCTACCTTGATAGCAATGTTAATGGTAAATGTCCTGAGAAACCGTATCTGTCAGGTTGTTTTACAAAGCGTCCGCTATTCAAWCCTCATTGAATATTCATGATCACTCATGATGACGTCATTAGCATTATATATAAGAACTAATTTATGCAAAGGCGTCAGTCTCGCACGTTTCAGCACATAGGAAAGTCGTCCCGCCCACCCACCCTTACTGCTGCTTTTGTTAGCACTTACTACCTCCTTGTCATTTATTCGACAGTAGTGCTATCCATACCTTAATGCAGTTAATGCTAATGAAGCAGCAGAAGGGATAATGTACTATTTCACGACTAATTTTTTCGAATCACGGTTAACTAGATTACTTTTCTCTCTCTCAACTTTAATGTCACTGTAATGTTCGGTAGGTGTAGTGATGGTCAGTGTCGGTCTGAAAGTTGAGAGAGATGTTTTAAAGGTGATAGCAAAAAAAGCCCTAAAAGTGGCGATTCCTGTGTTGTACTTGATGTGTATTACACACGCTTTGCTCGTACTGAAAGTTAGGTTGGTTGGTTGGGAGGCCTGGCCTTTGACACCCGGCTGTTTCATTCAAACAAAAAGTGGAG